AATCAAGTGCTCGTCTAGGAATAGTTGGGATAAGGTTACTTACGAAATGAAGAAGCAAGAAAACGGAAGATTTACAAACATACCACTCAATTCTTACATATTTACATATTTAACACCTAAACTTCAATTTTTACATACATATCACTTTACCTATGCATTAAAAGAATTATTTCACGTTTAAAAGTTAAAATGGAGGAATATTTGATGTCATATAAAAGCTTTAGGTGGTACAAATATAAAAAGCAAAATTTAAGTGTTAGATATGTAAATACATAGGAATTGGATGGTATGTATGTAAATGTCCCCAAATAATGTGTATTCCTTGCGGATAATCTTCCACTGTCATCTGCACTTTCATAAGCATCCAAAAAGATCAATCTTACAATAAATAAAAAAACATAGTGAGCCGTTCCAAAATCTATAGATTCTTTTTTAGTGAAGGATATACAATGAGTTCAGCCTATGATGGCTAAGATATGTGATGAGTAGACAAAGCTTGATGGACAGCTGAGTTATAATTAGGCTCATAGAATTGAGCGAAAAGAATTGGCACTCCAGGAAATGTTCCACACAATTAACAATCATATAACGAATTTTGAAGAAATTTAGGATGATTTACATACAAACCACTCAATTCCTATGTATTTACATATCTAACACCTAAACTTTAATTTTAACATATATGCCAACTTACCTATGCATGAAAAAGTGTCTTTCACGTTTTAAAAGTGAAAATAGAGTTATTTTTTATATAAAAGGCCGTCTTTCACCTTTTTGGTGTTTGATAATTATTTGAAGATTGTTCCATCATGGTTAGATTATGAATTATCTCAAAGACTGATATTATAAAGACCAGTCGACAAAACTTGAAAATGCCCCTTAAATTGTTGTATTCATCTTGAATCTCATCAGCCATAAACAACTATTTTCTAAAATAACATTTACCTGGAATGGATGTCTAAGTACATTTAGTTCAAATAGCACCATTTCTTCCAAAATAAATAAAAAAAATAACTAAGAACCCGCAGAGGTAAAATATAAACCGTTTTTTCTATGGGAATAGCGGATAAAAAGTCCATGCGCATGGATGACCTAGGACCTCATCGATGGCACCAAATTATGGTATTAGTTAACAAATTTTCATATTAGGAAAATAATCCTCATATGGTGAGCAATATAGGTTTATTTCATAGTAATCTAGCAGTTATACTCATTCCTCCATCATAAATAAAGGAGTTCTGGAGTGCATAGATAGCTTTAGCACCAAAATTATTTTTCAAAATGTGACGTGCCCAACTATGTTGTTCTTACATGGTTGCTCAAGAGCCTTGAATCTTCTATTATATCAACTATAATGCTTGAAAACTGTCAAAAAGATTGTGAAATCTTCTTTAGTCGTACACTTAATAGAAAGGTAATATGTCTGATATCTAAAGCCTTTATTTTGAGATTTTCACTCATCAACAAAATAATATGCAGATCCATTAGTATTAATAAGAAGGTTTTAAATACCGGACCAGATATTGAACCGGAAGAGGAGGATGTTCAAGGTTCAACAATTGAACCGGAGTTGAGCCAGAGGTTGAATCGGTAGACGTCATAAATATAAAAAATTATTAACTATAACTTAAATGGCATAACAATGTCAAAGTATATGCAGTATAAAAAATATATCATGAAATATAAATCATATGTGAAGTGAAAAAACTCATTTAAATGACTAATATTTTCTTCTAATATAGATAGCACTGTCGGTTCCTTAAACTATTTCATTCCATTACATTAAACTATTGTTTCTCTAAAACGAATTAAAAAGAAGAAAATGTTAGCATCAAATAAAAAAGATTTGTAAGTAAACAAAAGATAAAACGATGAAATTGAATACATAATTGCATAAATGTATAGTACTAAATTAATTATAATAGACAATATCTAATGTGAAAAAAAGTGCTTATAAATTAAAACAACGATAAATCAATAAGCATGATACACTATTACTGCAAGAAGACAAGCAATTTAGTATTATAATCCAAAAAATATCTCTTAGTAAGCACTTTAAAAAAAAATTGGTTCAACGAATGAACCGCCGGTTCTAACTGGTTCATTGCGGTTTAATGCGGGGACGATTTTTAGGCCAATCAGAATCGGACCTCCGGCCGGTTCAAGGTCAAACTGGGTTCGGTTTTCTAAACTTTGATTAATAATAAAAAAAACGGGGATGAGTTACTTTAGTACCAACACTTAATTATTGATCGAAGAAACAAAATGAAGAATTTCTTGATGTAAAAAAAAGAAGAATAAATAAATTGAGAAATGATTATATCAGAATAATTGCAAGAGTAGAATCTATTATATATAGAAGATACTTACAAATATAACTTGTTTGGAAAATGCACCCTTAGCACATTTAGATAAAATTAAGATGAAAAGATTAGAAAAACAAATTTGTAGGCAAAAGATAGCATGAATAACAATTGCACAAAAATATTTCTACATATTAAATCTAACATCTTGTATAACAAATTAAAAAATACATAAAAACTGACAATTCATAGATCCAACCCTAAAATAATTAGGATATAGCAAATGGTGATGATATTGTTTAAAATAAAGACCAAAATGAAATTAAACTATCAACAACACATTGATAGTTTTTTTTTTTTGGTTGCTTCAATTCTAATGTATTCAAAGTTTAAGAAGGTGAATCATGAATGATCAAATAAGAAACACAAAATAAACACCCTATTTGCATTGATTAACTTTTATTTGCTATATAAACACTGAAAACTATATCATTTACAAATAGAACCTTCTACAACATACAAAGATCTCAAGAGGTAAAACTGAATAAAAGGAAAATAATTAATTCAAAATAGGCTAAGAGCTGGAGGCCAACCACCGAACCACTTACCCGCTGCTCATCAATAAACTAAACTTCCTTGCCCGGTGCAACAATAGATGCTAGCTAACTTAAAAGGTCATAAAAATTAGGGAAATTTACATCCATAACACACAATTCTTTTACATTTATAAATCTTACACCTAAACTTCCATATTTGCATTTATAGCACTTTGGTATTAACTTTTAAAACGAAAGTGATTGGGTTATCTTTGATGTTATATTAAAGATACGAGTGCTATGTAGCCAAATATTAAAATTTGAGTGTCAGATATGTAAATACATAAGAATTGTGTGATATGTATGTAATTTTTGCTACACTAAATTTCCATTCACTGCTACAAAAAAAAAACAAAAACATACTACAATCTTGTGAAAAAAAAAATGGTGCAGGTATTCAAGAATGAAAAACCAGTGAAAAGGTTGAAAAGACCTTACTTCATGAGAATGTCGTAGTACTCCGGGTCCAGAGAAGAGAACATGCCATCTACGTCCCTAATGGCCATCATTGCTCGATGCACCACAATCCAGTTAGCCGACTGCAATGAAAGAAAACCCTAATTTAGAAGAAAGTCACAACGCTTAATAGCTGGAAAACAAGATCGAAACCCTAAACGAAAGGGGTAACGCCAACCTTGCATCGCTGATCCTTCGTGTTCGTTGGAGACCCCTCCAGAGCAGTCTTCAGCGCCTCAACCGGCTTCGATCTGAGCATTATGTAGAACATCAGGTGTTTAGTCGAAAAACAAGCTAGATATCAGCCCCCCCCCGCCCCCCCCGCCGCCCCCGCCATCGCTGCCGCAGCTGCGGTGTCTTTCGCTTTAAGGAGAGATGTCAGGTCTAAAATCGGTAGTAAACAGTTCAATTTTGGGAGTGTGGAATGTGTGACGGAACAGGACGGGGGTACGACAGCGAGGAACGGAGAAATAAACATTTACATACATACCACTTGATTATTATGTATTTACATGTTGTATAAAAAGATGCATTTCGCTTTTTAAAAATTAAAATATTAGTATTTTTGAAGTAATATGAGGGATTTGCTTGGTATATGTGTAAAAGGTAAAATTTAGGTTTATGTAAAGGCCAAAAAAAAAAAAAGAATTTTGTACATATAGTAAATTTCTATGTATTTATATGTCATGTTATGTTGCCTGTGTATAAGAATGTGTATTTCACTTTTAAAAATAAAAAAAATAATTATATTTTTATGTGATAAAAAATTCACATGATATAAAGATAAAAATTATTCGGTACCAATAGACATGTGAATGGTCTAGATGGAAGTAATCCGATCAGACAAGCACCTGACTTTCCTGTGCTTCTCATGTGTGATCAAGTAATAAGAATCATGGTGGTAATCAAACAACTAATCTGTAACAAACTTAAGAAAACCTCCAACTTCAACACAAAGGAAAGATATTTACCTTTTAACATCTCTTTGAGTAGGGAGTGTGAAGTGCTTTGCACCTTCTTGAAAACATGAAAGATCTTCTCTTCTTTAGCAGTCGGCGACATAAGACCAGGCATTTTCTTCTCGATCAATGTAACTCGGTGGGAATGTTCCAACCATTTATCCTACGTGCGATGCAGAGTTGCTTCTTCCAATCGATAAACATTTGTTAGGAAGGTCTAACATCTTACGCTGGGAAGAAAACACCACCATCCAGCCATTTTGCACCTTTAATTGGAAGGATTAAAGAAACAAATTGGGGGACCAAAACAAAAATTACACATGAGCGTGCATTATGACCACCATAACGCTCATATTTAAGTTAGGACTAATATGGGCAAAAAGAAGCACAAAAAAGTTTAGTATATCCACTAGTTCTATGCACAGTGGTAACTATAAACTCGACTGAAATTGCTCCAAGTACACATAAATCTTATGCTCATGGATGGTATTAGGAATTCCCTCTTTCCTCATAGGTCTCAATGTCATGACATTGTCAGAAATATACTTAGATTGAGCCTCTGCTTGTTATCCATCTATGAACCCTTATGATATCTTGTTGACGGGGAGGATGAGCCACTCTTCTCCAAACTTGACTCTATCATCAAGAAAAATTTGCTAAAAAAAGCACGATAGAAAAGAAAGCACTCAAGAAAGTGAGCAAAAAAAAAAATTTTCTTTCACCATATAAGTTATGTAAATGCAACCATTCGATCTCAACATGTACAATAGGAAGTCCAATGGGTATGGACCTCAACAGACTTATAAATTATCAAGTACAATAAAGCGTTAATAGCACAATCTCAGACACTAAAAATAAAATTAGGCAACATCCAAAAAAAATATTTCATTCAAAAAATCAGAGCTAAGCAAAATACAAAGTCAGATACACTAATAGAGAGATGCCTGAATTATCAAATACATTCCTATGCATACAAAAAATAAATTAATTTTCCTTAACATCATCCATATTGATAGTTCTTGACCAAAGAAGGCTTTTAGGCAATAGTCGCCACTAGCCACAAAATTATCAGGGTTAATTGGCTCCAGGCACTGTAGAAAGGCTAAATCAGCCTCGATGGTCTTCAACCTTTGAGAGATTTTGACAATTTTTTTCTCCAAATTCTGCAATCCTCTCTTGGAACTTTATTTCGAAAACTAGTTCCCTAGCTTCCTGATCAGTAGTATGCCCCAGTACATCAACAAATTCTCCTTCCATTGTGGCTAGAAGACCCATCAAACAATAATGGTCTCCCATGTAAGAAGCGATACTAACTATATGACTTGAACTCAACAAAACTCCTTTAGTTGAAGCGTGAGTTTCTTGGCAACTAGATCTGCCTCCCCTTTAACCACTTGAAAATTGACAAAAGTGGTGGTTATGATTAGAGTCCTAACTTCAGCATCACCCATCCCTGGATCTTCCAAAGCTTGATTGTTTGACATCTCTGGGAGTGGTATTGATATCTTATTAGGCAAGGAAAGAATTCTCAAACTAACTAAATCTCGTTACATTACCTTCTAGAGGTAGATCAACATATCACTAGTACAAGACTTTGCCCTCGACGACACAAGTCTTAGGAAAACCTCTCTCTATTGATAAGGACTCCCCATAAGCATTTTCCAATGAAAATTGTTGCTTATACATCTTATATGTATTTTCTTACTCCAAAATTGTGAGGTCGTAGCATGGATTAAATAGATCAAAAGTCTAGAATGATAAATTATAATATCCTCACCTGCAGAGTCAGACTCGACAAAAAACTATCATATCGAGCTTCTCTTGCTCTTTGATTACATTTTGAGGTTGACTCTCCGTCGAATCGTTCATATTATGAGGAACCTTCCTTGGTGAGTGAGAATCAGAGTAAGGCGGTGTTTCCTCGTCTTGAAGATATTTATTCCGGTTCATTAAGCTTAACGAAAGACAATGACTCATGCAGCTATAGAGAGACAAAAAGATCCTCATTCTCTTGTTCTTTTCAGAAACCGATCGAAGAGCTAAGGGAATCAGGGAAATAAATGTAAACACAAATACAATTATATACCTAAAATATAGGCTTTCTACGCCTATTCTGAACAATGAAATCTAATACGCTAAACTAAGCCCACCCGTCGAAGGGTCAGAACTAAGCTGACTTGCTGAAGTGTCTAAACTGAGCCAACCTAAAGAAGTGGCTGACTTGAGCCCACCTATTGAAGTAATTGAATCTATCTCTTATTTGAGGGTGATTTAGCCCATCTAGGTGGGACAACAAATATAGATGGTCATCATTATTAACAATGACACAAGTTCAACTTTTCTCAAAAGCACCACCTGACATCCACAATGTGGTCTTTTCATCAAGACATCTTGGATGGACGTCGTATTGTACTAAATGTATCTTTTATATCTTTCTCTTTTTGTTTAAAAAGTAAAGTCAAGACGAGAGAAGAGTCCTAGATCTTTTCTCAGAGTCTCTCTCTCTCTCTCTCTCTCTCTCTCTCTCTCTGAAAACCTCTTTGGAACCATTTTTCGGCTTACCAGAGGTTCAAGTTCAAGACACGATCCGTGAGATCTTCTTTCAAGCCTCACCGCCATCTTTTTCTTCACATTTCTTTCACTAAAACATGATTTTTACCCAGTTGTATGTACCCATGAGCGATACAGAACCCAAAAGTCCTTAAGGGATTCTAAACCCATGAATCTCTATAACAACTTTAAATATATATATATATATATATTTCAAAATTGTGAGGAGTAGTTCCTTCAAGTATTTCAAATACCAATTTTTGTTACAATCGGCAATTATTTCATTTTATATAGAGCCAGATCAGACGAGGATTCAGAGATTCATGAATAGAGATACGGGACGTAACCCAACACAAGTCAAGCACAGCCCAAACAATTTTGGGTCAAACCACAACCGACATTAATGAAACAAAATCGTGGTCGACATCCCACTAAAACATGGAATCACTTTTTGTAAAAACTATTGATCCAACTAATTGGTTTGCAAGATATTTTATTAATAAAATAACTTTCTGTTATATATATCTAATCCAATTTGATTTGAGCCAACTTATAACCAAAAAAACCTCTTCTAGATAACCAATTAGATTTGAACCAAACGCCTAGCACACAATCTACAAGATCATTATACCAAATCAAGCGTATCCTAACACCCTTAGCTTATGTTCTAACTAACTCATACTTATAATTTATATACTATAAACAATTTATCACCTATCACATTATGTCATGCCTCTGTGCATTCATGCTTACATTTGATACACCCATCAATAAATTTTCATCATCCGACACAAATCTTGACACATAATTGTGTATTTCTTTCCTGCATGTGGGACATGAATTTATACGTGTAATCATCAATTTGTAGTGAATCATTCTGATTGGGCCGGTCCACATTTTTATGTCGTGATTTTTTTTTTTTCTTGAATATGTGTTGGATTTGCCCACTGCTGCAAATTATTTAGCATATATCAATACTATTTATGATGTGCATAATTGAATATTTTATGTATTTTCATCAAATCACCAGACTAGCTTGTAGAGTTTGCTAATTAACTAACTTAATTATTTTATTAATCTTATCATTAGGACTTGGAATGCCAACTATGATCATAAAGCAATGAAAATGGGAAACTTGATTTTTATTTATTTTTCATATACATACGCCCAATTTTCTATCTATTTACATATCGAACATTTTAATTTTAATTTTTTTATATTCATGCCACCCAAATCTTTCATACCATTTCAAAAATACGACATTTTAAATTTAGGTGCTAGATATGTAAATTCCTAGGAATTAAGTGGTATGTACGTAAATTTTTCTCTTTTAAATTTAATTTTAATGCTCGCCTAATTATTTGATTACAAAAAGGAAAGGATGTTAAATACTTGATTTTGCATAAAGTTTTCTCACTCCTCTATAAGGGGAGGAAATATTGCATATCTGTGTGGATTACTCTCCTCATTTCAGTGTAATCCGTGAGAAAAATTTGAGTATGTAAGACGTACGCAGCGCTGCGTACGTCAGGGAGGTTATTCAGAGGATATTGGGGGGTAATATCCACATTATACTCTCTGTAATCTACCTATAACCTACAAATATATGAAAACAGAAGCACATAACTTATTGAGAATGTACATGTAGATTACAGTGAGGTTACATGGGTATTACACAGATATAACCCTCTAATATCCTCTGAATAACCTCCCCAACGTGCACAGCGTTGTGTATGTCTTACGTACGCAAATTGTTCTCGTAATTCTCACACATATGGATTACATATGCGAGAATTTGGTCAGTTCGGATGGATAGTTTTACAAATTGATCGAATCGATTACAATCGAAATCTAAAAATAAAAAAACATGAACAATTCAAATTAAACTTGATAAAACCGAGCCGACTGAACTAAATACTAACCGTTTAAACGATTTTGTT